AAAACAAAGATTTATTTGGTGTTTTGCCTTCATGTATGTCTGTAAAAGTGCTGTCTCCTGGAACTAGAGTTACGAACAGGTGTGAGCTGACATGTAGGTGCGGGAATTGAACCTGGATCGGCTGGAAGAGCAGCCAGTGCTCTTAACCACTGAGCCATCGCTCCGGCCTTTGTGAGATTTTGTTTTGTTTCCCGTTAGATGATAGCATTTATTTACTTACTTACTTATTTATTTTTGTTTTCCAAGACAGGATTTCTCCATGTAGCCCTGGCTGTCCTGGAACCGGCTCTGTAGACCAGGCTGGCCTCAGACTCACAGATCTCCCCCTGCCTCTGCCTCCTGAGTGCTGGGATTAAAGTTGTGTGCTACCACTGCTTGGCATTAGATGATAAAATTTAAAACCTAAAAACACTCTTAATGCTTAAAACAAAAATGTAGAAGCTTTTCAGAAATATGTTTCTTATCTATCAATCTATCATCCATTATCTATCATCTGTTATCTGTATCTAATATCTATTGAAATACTTATCTATTTATCTGTCTACCTTTCTGTATCTATCTGTCATCTATCTATTTTTCTATCTTGAGCCTGGGCTACATAAGAAGCAGAATAGGGTATCGAACACACAAATCCGCCTGCCTTTGCCTCCTGAGAGTTGGGTTTAAAGGCATGGACCACCACCCCTGGCAAAATACACGTCTTTAAAAGTCATCTTGGACAAAGGCTTGTGCTCGGAATTGGCAAGTGCCATAGCAATGCCTTTCATTAAGGAAGAGCTCTGTATTTGCTGGGAGGCAGACAAGGTCAGGCCGAATCATTTACCAGAGCTTTCCTCAGAACTGAGAACTGAGAAGTGTCATCCTCAAGGATGTGGCAAGGGACTTAAGTTATCACATCTAGAAATAACCATAGGCTGCCCTCTGGGGTTTGAATAACTTCCAGCAGTGTGAAAAGGGGTTTGTTTTAATTTGCATCAGAACACAGTGGCTAGTTAGGTCCTGGGGCACAGGGTTTTGCTCAGATTTGGTTCTAGCAGGCAAAAGCAGAGCGTCAGAAGGAAATCCTCTTTTAAATCCTATGCAAATGGAGTCACTGAATGAATCCAGTCTGGGTCACTTGACTCATTAACAGAAGGTTCTGAATGGAATTCACCTTCCCACAGGAGAGCCCACTGGTGGAGTGGAAGCCACATAATCACCCAGAACAGTCACATACTGTCACTGCAGCTACCGTCCCTGGGAACAGGTTCTAAGCCACCTGAGAGTTCTCACATTTTTGGGTAAAGGTCTATGTTACTGATCTGATTGATTTGTTTCTGGGAACCTAGGACGTAAATTCAGAATCCCGTAGGAAGTCAGGAAGACATCACTGAGTGACACAGACACAGGCTCTGCACAGCTAACATCCGTGCACGGAGCAAGTTGCTTTTCTTTGCCTCAATTTCCTCTTCCCAGAGTGGGTATTTTCAGAACGAAGTGAACACTGAGGGTGTTGGGCAGCGAGGAGGAACTGGAGCAATCTGGGCTGCTGTTATTTCACAAACAAGGATGATAATACTGAGACTCCCCCTCCTCCTTCCCCTCCCCTTCTCCACTCCCTTCCCCTCCCCCAGCACTGACTGAATACACAGAACCAGAGGGACTTGCACCAAGGTGTCCTAATTCCTTCTTTTTCTTCCTCATTCTGAGGCTTGACCCAAAGCCTCGTAAAGGCCAGGCAAGAGCTCTATGCCTGAGTGACACCCCCTCACTGTTCTTTTCCTCCTTTCTTTCTTTAAAAATTTTATGCCAAGGGGACATGGTGGTGACACACACCCTTAGCCCCAGTGCTTGGGAGGCAGAAGCAGGCAGATCTCTGAGTTCAAGGCCAGCCAGGTTTACAGAGTGAGTTCCAGGACAGCCAGAGCTACACAGAGAAACCTTGTCTCAAAAACCAAAAGAAGAAAAATTATATTTTTATTTGTGTGCATGTGTGGGCATTGCCACAGCACACAGGTGAAGGTCAGAAGTCAACTTGTAGGATTCCAGTTTTTTCCACCATGTGGTTTTGGGGGCAGCTCAAGTCCTCAGACTTGGCAGCAAGGGCTTTTATCTGCTGAGATATCTCATTGTCTATCTATCTATCTATCTATCTATCTATCTATCTATCTATCTATCATTTTCTGTCTATCTATCTATCTATCTATCTATCTATCTATCTATCTATCATTTTTCTGTCTGTCTGTCTATCTATCTATCTATCATTTTCTGTCTATCTATCTATCTATCTATCTATCTATCTATCTATCTATCTTCTATCTACCTTTCTTCCCTTCTTAAACATTTATTTTACCTCATCATACTTTAAATTTGTTTTTAATTATGTGTATGTACGTGCACATGAGCACACATGTCCAAAGAGGCCAGAGGCATTGGATTCCCTGGAACCGGAGTCATAGACGTTTGTCAGCATCCGGCCCTGGTGCGGGGAATCAAACTGGAAAAGCAGTTTGTGCTGTTAACCACAGAGCCAGCTCTCCAGCCCCTTTTCATTCTCTTTTAACGAGCAAATGTCAGTCATGTTTTATTTAGGTCTTCCTGCACTATTCTAATAGTGACAGGATAGCAAATGCTATTTGTTAAACTACAGTGCCTTTAAATTTTATAGTGAATATCTGTGTGCTACCTGTTCAGAAAAACAAGCCTGTTGTATGTGTTAGCTTCTCTTGTGATTGGAAACATAACTCAACAGCCACTTTATAGCTAAGGAAACTGAAACAGGTCCGAGTAAAGGCATTTTTTTTTTTAGGTGAAGATCGCATGCCAACCCCTAACGGACCTGATCTGAGTGGTCAGCCGTGTGGCTATTTTGCTTAGCTCTCAGTGAGCACAGAATAGTCATTTCAGCCTAAATAAGTAAAGCACTGGGTTTTTTTCCTCCCCCTCGGTGTTGCCATAAATCAAAAGCACATTACAGCAAGTGCAGATGTTTCCTGTACTCGTGACAAAAAGCAAACGGCTCACATTGCCCCTGACGACGTAGCTGGAGTCGCTCAGGATGTCCCGGGCCAGTCCAAAGTCACAGATCTTCACCACCTTCCCATGGGTGACCAGCACATTTCTGGCTGCCAGGTCTCTGTGAACACACTGGGAGAGAGAGGCTGGCGTGATGTTGGCTGTGACTTACACCTTCAGAGACTTACAACAGTTACAAAGGACAGAGGCTGATCCATGACTGTCACACATTCCGAGAACACTGGCTCATTCCTAAGTTACCTCAGCCGCAGTCATCTGCAGCATCCCTGGAGCTATGAGCGAAAGAAGTGCTAAAAGGGGCTGTCACAGAGCTCCAGAGAAACTTCTAGCAGCCAGCTTCCTGTGTGTGAGTGTGAAAACAGAATCTCTTCTGAATAAAGAGCCGGCTTTAGGAATAAAATTGCATCATATCTGACAGGCCTGGTGGTGCAGACCCATAATCTCAGCACTGAGGAGGCTGAGGCAGGAGGATTTCCAAATTTGAGGCCAGCCTAGACTACACAGACAGATCTTATCTCTAAATAAATAAATAGGTTAATATCAAAGAAAGTATTCAGAAGAAGTGAGTTTGAGCTGTCAAAGAGATGACAGCTCAGTGAGAAAAAGCATTTACCATGTAACCACGATGCCTTGAGCTCCATTCCTGGATCCCCACAGTGGAAGAATTTACTCCCACACTATGGTACATGTGCCCCACATTCATACACACGCACGTACGTACACACACAGTGTGTACAAGACAAGACAGAAGATGCTGATGAGTTTTGAGGAGTCTGTGAGAGTAGAGCCCAGAATCTCTGGAGGGAATGAACTCTGGAAGAAGTTGCTGGAGAGAACATGGCATCCACAGGGGTCCACTATGCCCTCTTCAGCCTTTAAAAGACAAGGCCTATAAAAATGGGAATGTCTGTGCCGTGACTCCTGTTCACCTTCTCCAAGTCTGGTTTTCTTCATGTGGCATCTCCTTGATGCCTGTCCCCATCCCCAATGTGTCCTCCTGGCTATCTGCCCTGTCCATCTTCTCCACTGCTGCTCTGGGAAAGGCTCCTGCAGACCAGCAAGAAGCCTTCCCTGCCTGGCCTGGCTTTAACCAGTCCTCTTCCTTGTCCTTCCCTCTGGATTCCATCCAAGACTCTCTTGTTCTCTCCCCAGCTCCTCATCCTGTCCCCACAGCTCCTCCATGCCTCTGCATCTGCCATGAAGGCAAGGTTCCATTCAACTAAGAGCACAACTGCCACCACTCAAGTCTCTATTTTCAACCCAAACGCTTCTTCTGCATGTCAGATAGGCGCACTGAGCAAGCACCTCCTTCCCTTCACTCTCCTTCTACAGAAGAGTGATTACCTCCATCTGAACATCTCCCCAAGAATCACACACCCTAACCATCTGTGTGCCTTGCTCTCTTCTCTCTTTAAAAACTTGGCCCAGCTGCCGCATGAGCCCTTACCAGAAGCCATTTTTTTCCCTGTCCCTCACTGGCCAGATCTGCCATTCATGTTCTTTGGGGTAGCCATGCTTACTTCAGTGACAATATTAATCACAAGACACTGCCCCATGCTGCTGAGCTACGATGGTCAGGTTAGATAATTCAGTGCAGTTTTTACATGTTCCCTATTTACAGTGGGCCTGTGGAAAGGGGTGACCCAAATACAAGTAGAAGAGAATGCTTGGTCAAGGACACCAGCTGCCTTGTTAGTCTAACTCTTAGATATGTTATGACATGGACCTTTGAAGAATGCCCAGTTTTTAGACTGTTTGTCTTCACCGCAGGACTTCTGCTCTAGTTACGCCCCAGGACTGTGCTCTCCCCACTCTGTGACTCCGTCACACATTTGTGTGGCTCCGTGTGACACTGTGCTGGGGCAAGTGTGAGGGAGATTTTCCTAATTCTGAGGTCAGAAGACCCGCCTAACATCTGGGCCACACCTTCTGGTGGCAGCCATAAAGGGTATGAAGGAGGAAGCTTTTGCTTTTTGCCTGCTTGCCTTCACTCTGACTGGCAAGTCCATCTGCCCTGATGTTGGGGTGTTTTCTCATCGACTTCTTCAGGATCCCAACAAAGACCCAAGACCAGCTACTTTCTAAGGCTTTCCCGGAATTCCAGATTGGGATTGTTGAAACATCCAGTCTCATGCACCTTGTTGGACTACATGGACTGCTGCCTGTAAGCCACTCTAATAAATCCCCCATATGTGTGTGTGTGTATATGTGTGTGTGTGTGTGTGTCTATATAAAATATTTTTACATAGAGAATAAAACTATATATAACTTTATATTTATATATAAATATATATAAATATATATATCTTTACATATATATATAATTTTCAATTCTATCAGTTCTGTTCCTTTAGGGAGCCCTAATTAACATACTGCCCCTCTGAAATACAGACATCTATTCCTTTGGAGAAACTTAGTAAGATACACCAACTTGCCGGGCGGTGGTGGCGCACGCCTTTAATCCCAGCACTTGGGAGGCAGAGGCAGGTGGATTTCTGAGTTCGAGAGTTCGAGGCTAGCCTGGTCTACAGAGTGAGTTCCAGGACAGTCAGGCTACATGGAGAAACCCTGTTTTAAAAAAACCAAAAAAAAATGATAATAATAATAAAATAAAAAATATAAATAAAAGGTGCTTACCGACTTGAACTCCAGGAACTCCATGCCTTTGGCCACTTGATACGCAAAACAAAGAAGGTCTTCAAATGTCAGCACGTTCAAATCCTCTTCCTCTTCTTCTTCTAGCCTCTTTTGGTTTTCATATTCAATCTCATCTGTAAAAATATATCCACTTTGCACTTTCCCCAAACACTTGGCAGTGTCCTATCAGACCTCTGTGAGACATAGCTAAGGTGACACCAGTGTGGAGATATTTGTAAGTCATTAGATCTGGTTTCCTGCTCTAGGCTCAATAGACCAAATCGAATGGCATCACCCAGACAAAAGGCTCGTCATACAAAGAGAAAGGATTATTTGACCTTCAGAGAAATCAGAAGCAACCACCAAACCTCCTGAGCAGGCCAGGTTCTGGGCATGAAGATGGAATGGCTTCTGCTTCTGTCCTTACAGAAGAGTTTATCCTGAGGCAGTCTGATGTTAAGCTATCAGTCACCTTTCTCATTTCCTGACTCCAGTCCCGGGAAAATGATCAGAATAATCAGCCTGTTCTTGTAATCGACATGTGGCCCTGGCTGTCCTGGAATATGCTATGTAGACTTGGCTGACCTTGAACTCACAGACTACCACTCTGCAGCCTGTGTGGTTGGATTAAAGTTGTACACCACTGTTCCTGTCCTGATCTTTGTGTCCCCTTTTTTATTCCCTCTCAGTCATTTTTCTCTCTATAAACCAGCCTCTTCTTAGTCTACTTGAACAGTCATTCTGTTTTCTGGAATGAAGCACTGTTCACCTGCCAAGGGTCTAGAGAGACAGCTCCATGGTTAAGAGCACTGCATGTTCTTGCAGAGGACCCAGGCTTGGTTCCCAGCACCCATATGATGGCTCACAACTGTCTGTCACTCAGCTCCAGGGAATGTGACTCTCTCTTCTAGCCTCCAAAGGGACCAGGCACACATGGTGCACATACATACATACATACATACATACATACATACATACATACAGGCAAACACACATACAGGCAAACAAACTCTCAAGCAATACTTTCATGAGTAGAGTGTTTGTGAAGTGGCCAGGTAATAAGAATGGGACCAGGGAGTCTATAAAACAGGAAGAGGAGAATGGGCAAATGGCTTATCAGGTAAAGGTTTTTCCACGGAGGACCCAAATTCAATCAATCCCTGGAACCTACATGTTGAAAGGAGAGAATGGATTCCCCCGAAAGACATTAAACACAATTTTTTAAACAAAGTTTTTTAAAGAGAAGAAAGCTTGCTCTCTGGCCTCTGTATGAGGGCTGGGGACACAGCAAGATTACCATGTCCATGTGAGGAGCAAGTGTCAGCTGCACCTTGATGATCTTGATTTACTAGCCTCTAGAACTGTGAGAAATGATGTTGTTTATGATACCCAGTCGTTAATAATCTGTTAAAGCCATCTGAGCTAAGACAATGAATATTAATTATGCATCCTTCTTTGGGCAGTAGAGATGGCTCAGTGGTTAAGAGCTCTTTCAGAAGACCTGAGTTCAGTTCCCAGAACTCACATGATGGCTCACAATCCCAGTCCTAGGGCATCTAGCATCCTCTTCTGGGTCTCCGAGGGCACTGCACTCAGGTGGTGCACAGACATACACAGTAGGCAAACCACCCAAACATTATCCCTCCTTCTCTTCAAAAAAAAAATCTGTCAGTAGAAAAAAACAAAGACTGATCGACTGTCCACCACATTTTATAAACAGTATTTTATACTTCACATCTTCTGTTTATTCCTTCTAACAGTCCTAAGAGGAAAGTAGTATTGGACCAATTTTATAAGTGAGAAGCAGGGACTCTGGATGTCTAACTAACTTGTCTGGAGCAAACTGTTCTGAAAGGTAAACTCTGATTCTAGAACTTACTGTCTTACCAGGTACAAGCTGACTCCAATAGCTTACGACTTTATAAAGAATATTCTGAACAAACAAAATAGTTCCAGGTACTTGTTAGTTGACCATGGACATGGAGTTCACAACTATTGGCTTTTGACTTTCCAAGAAAGCACGCACTAACAAAGCCTGTCCTTGACCTAAGCAAAGACACACTGCTTCTGCCCTGCCACCATGACTCAGTGAGAAAAGCTGCCCTTAGGCCTGACAAACTGACATCTGTCCAGTACCAGCTCTCACTAGTTGTCCTCTGACCTCCATGGGGTGTCATGGCATGAGTATGCCTGTGCACAAGCACACACACATACACACACATGTACATACATACATACCATACACATACAAACACACACATATATACACACATCACACATACATATACACGTACACACACATATACATATATATATACATACCACACACATACATAAACATATCACACACACATATGCACATATACAAATGTACATACCACACACATACATACATATACACATATAAACACACATGTACACACACATCCTATGCAAAAACACATACACACATAAACACAAACCACACATACATACACATACCGCACACACATATACACATACTCATACCCCACACACATGCATACACACTGAATACACATATACACACATACATTCACAGAACAAATGCATGTACATACATATATACATACACAGCACACATACATACATACATATACCCCCCACACAGCACACACATATACATATATACAAACGTACATTCATAGCACACATATATATCACACACAGCATACACACACACACAGAGCACATATACACATATAAACATACAAGCACACACAGAGCACACACATATACCCACCACACACCACGCACCATGCGCATGCACACATGCACACATAGACACACACACACACATAATTTAAAAAAAGCTTAAAAATAGCTGGCATGGGCCTCTTGGATTCATTTCAAAGTGCTACCAGCAAGAGTAAAATATTACCTTCAGAATGAATTGGATTCTCATTGAACTGTGAGATCTGATCCAGGGGCTGGTGTATCTGAACTTCTCGTGAACCCGGCATACTATTAAAAATAAATTTGTTTCTTCGTTATTTACATTGTTCTTCTGAGCAGACATTTTATTAGAAAAGGTACAATTCATCAGAGGAGCAGATTCAGTTACAAATGGGCTTTTAACTGGAAAGCCCACTGCCGGCTTGTCAATGGTACCCTGCGTACATTAAAAACATCTGTATGTGGGGTTTGCAGAGCCAGCCTGGATAAGAGGGGCCATTCAGTCACTGTCCTGCTGTAAGCTGGGTACACAAAACAGAACTGGGGCTGTAAGTGGTTTCTATGTCCTGAAGTTTATGAAGAGAAGAATAGGATATCCTGCTGCTCCCAAATTCAAGCCATTTCCCCTTTCGGAGTTCACACGACACAGGGCTTATAAATGAAGTGTTTTGCCATTCTTTTTAAGAAATATGTTTGATCTGTAGGTTTGTGCCGTGCTGGGGATGTACCCAGGGCCTTGTGCGTGCATGTGCTCCGCTGGAAGGTGTACCCTCAGCTCAGCGTCATCTTTCCAACACAGCTTCTGTGAACCATGTTTCCCTCCTCTGAGGGATAAGCACACAGCTGGACTCAGTATTTGCCATCACAGGGGCTTCTCCCTGTTTATAACTCCCTTTCCCTTTGGAAAATGGTTTAGTGCTCTCAGTACATTTAATACCCCAGTGACCAAAAATGAACCAAAGGAGTTAATCACTGTCCACACACATCTGTGTTAGGATGGTTCCTCTGTTGTAGAGCACACATGGCAGGCCCCTGGTGCTCAGGGGTGGAGAATGTGTTGAATACACATGAAGTCCTGGGTTTCCCCCCTAGCACTACAAACACACAATAATAAATAAGTGAAATATAATAATAAATAAAATACAAATAAATAGGGCGTAGTAACACATGAACAATAATAACCAATGATAAGACAGTATCATGTTAATAACAAGCTGTTTTGTGAAGTTACTTAAAACTTAAGGATTGTTTATTTCTGGACTTTTCTATTTGGTATTTTTGAGCCATGTCTTCTGGTGGGTAATTGAAACTTTATTAAGTAAAAGAAGAAATAATGTGGACAGACGTCCACAGCACAGACAAATGGCTGCCTTAGGTCTCAGGCCACACACAGTGCCTCCAGGCGCTTGCTGGGAAGGGTTGGGGGTGGGTATGTGCAGTGGTCCTTCTGTCTGTCCCGGGTTGAATAGCCATAAAGCTCTGAGGTAGCTCTTACCTGGAATTTGAATGTAACTGGAAAGTGGGGTAAAAACTGAAATTATGCTCCTTAAAAATCTCTGTCCATGTCTTGTGAAACTTTTCTCTTTTACTTCTGAGGTAGTTGAGGAGGTCGCCATAACAACAGTATTCAAAAATCAAGTACACTGGCCCTGAAACAGTTACAATTGTAGTTACAGGTTTAGAGGAACCTCAGGTCACTCTTTCTGAATCACAGGTAGCACAACGGGGCCTGTTCCTTTTCTGCTCTCCTTGCCTTTGGAAGGTACTTTTTATGAACTCGTGCCTTAGACTTTTTTTTTTCCTGTTTTTCTTTTTTATTTTTTGAGACAGGGTTTTTCTGTGGCTATCCTGGCTATCCTGAAACTCACTCTGTAGACCAGGCTGGCCTCGAACTCAGAAATCCGCCTGCCTCTGCCTCCCAAGTGCTGGGATTAAAGGCGTGCACCACCACTGCCCGGCTAGACTTTATTTTCAATCTTAGTCAGCATTATGTGCAAAAGTCTGACTTCTAGCCTTTCTCTTGAGTTCTAAACGTATGTCCTCACCATCACCAATGGGTGTGTGTGTGCTGAGTTCTGAAACTGATTTCACGCCTGCATTTAGGCCAGCTTCACGGTCTGGAAAGGAGCTCAGACTCCACAGCATGAGTGTGCAGGGTGGTGGTTTTCTCTCAGGCAGTTAGGACTCTGTGATAGAGTAGGGAAAAGCAGGGCATGTGCTCTTCAGAGGGGCCAACATCTAACTCCACTGGTACTGGTGTAGAGGGAATAGCTTATGTCCATATGGACGTGACGCCTGTCAATAATAAATCTCATGGCCTATGGCTTAGGCAGGAAATAGGAGGCAGGACATCTGGGAGGCAGAAAGGATTCTGGGACAGTGTCAGGCTCAGGAAATTCACCCAGGAAGATATGATGAGGTGAGACGAGACAGGCTCATGGCACCTGAGCACAGGTAGCCAGCCATGTGGCAGAATGAAGATTAGAATAAATGGATTATTAGATCTAGTCAGAGAAGAGCCTAGCTCTATAGCAAGGTATTTGTAAATATATTTTGAGTCTGAGTCTTTTTTCTGGGAGCATGGGGTTGGGAGGAAGAACCAGACCAAACTTCTACAATCTGGGGCTGAGGAAAGTGTGCAGGGTACAAAGGCCTCGCTGCCTCCGGCTGCAGTAGTTTGGAGCAGGGGTTCTATCTGCAGGCGTTACCTGACAGTGTGCATGCCCCCAGCAGATTCACGATGTTGTCATGGTGCCCCAGGTGGGTCATCATTTTGAGCTCTGACATGAGCGCTTCTCTTTCACAGGTGTCGGCTTTCTCTGTTGGTGGAGGAGCAGAAACAGGGTTGACCTCAGGGAACTGTACGCTGTTTTAGAAACCAAGATTCTTCTCAGTTCAGACCACAACTTACATACATTCAAAACTGGAAGAGAAAAACTGACACAAACATAATACATGAATTTAGACAATAATTTAGACAGTATTCAAAATTCATGTTTTAAGGTGGAGGTTTTGTTTTGTTTTTGTTTTTTGTTTTTTGTTTTTTTGGTTTTTGGTTTTTCGAGACAGGGTTTCTCTGTGTAGTTCTGGCTGTCCTGGAACTCACTCTGTAGACCAGGCTGCCCTCGAACTCAGAAATCCACCTGCCTCTGCCTCCCAAGTGCTGGGATTAAAGGCGTGCGCCACCACCGCCCACCTAAGGTGGAGTTTTAAAACATGAGCTATAGATGTTAACTATATGAATGTATCCTTCTCTTCCTTAAGATGGGGTCTCACTCTATAGCCCTGACTGGCCTGGAGCTCACCCTGTAGATTAGGCTGGCCTTGAATTCACTGAGACCTGCCTACCTCTCCCTCCTGAGGGCTGGGATCAAAGTACGCACTGCCATGTCCAGCAAGGCTCTACATTTCTATTTGACTTTCCCTGACCAAGGAACATAAAACTCCTTCCACCCCAGCTCTCAAAGCAGGTAGACAACATAATAAACAGAACACGATTTTCCTAGTAGAAAATCAGATTATTCAACTGATAGGAAGACCAGAAGGAGGAGTTTCAGCAAGCATAGTTGTCTCCAACCTGAAGTTGCTCCTTGGGTCTAGAAACTTCCATTTGTAAGTATGCCCAAAGGTGGAGTTGGAGACGACAATGCACGTACAAAGTAACAATTCACTCTCTCCAGTACAGCAAACTGTATCCACAACCTTGCTAGGATGCAAGCACCGGGGTTGTTATGCCCAGTGCTCAGGTCACTGAGGATAGTGTAGCTGCCTGGGGCACCTCTGCCCCCATGGGTTTGGGGACCCATTTCTTTGGAATCTCTATTCCATGGACTCTTGGTTCTATGCAAATACCGTTGTGTTATAGAAGGGACCTGATTGTCTGGGATTCTGGTGTCTGCAAAGGGGGATTGTGTAACCAACTTACAGCAGAAACCGAGGGATGAACACACAAGATGAGGGAGATATAATGAAAGTACAGTGGGGTGGTACTAGGAGGACATCAGACAGCCTGAAACAGGAGGAAGAAGGGTCCACTGGACCCTGGAGCATGCTGAGTGAGTCTTTCCCTCAGTGAGACTGGACACAGAAGAGCACTGCAGGCTGAGGCAGTGGAAAACACAGGAAAAGTCACATGCTGCTTTCAGAAGGCTTAGGAGTAATGCAGAAGGTTAGATCCGAACTGAGTCTCTAAACTAACGCACTGTGCTAGAGTGTAGAATTCTGGGAGAAGTCTACATAGTCCTTACTGCAGAAGACTCGACTATGCTTTTAATGTTGGGCTTAGACTCGGGAACTCAAGCACGCTGAGTATGTGTTGTATCCTTAGCTCCATGTCGTGAGAGGACGCGTCCCTGAGGAAGTGATCTCTAAGCTGACATCTGAGAGATGAGTGGCTTCCTACAGTGAAAGGGGAAGAGCAGGTGGAAGGATTCACCTGTGCAAAGCCTGTGGGCGGGGAAGCACGGCACTGGGGGAACCGAAAGAAGGTGAGTTAAGAATGAGGTGGAAAGGCCGAGCCACGGCTGGATTGCTCAAGGTTGTGCAAACCATTTTCAGAGCAGTAGAAAGCCATTGCCAATGCTAAGTGCCATGCCAAGCAAGAAGGTGGTGTGATCTATTCTGCCTTGTGGCCATGCCCCACCTCAGCACATAGCCCCCAGCAGAAGAGGTGGGATGCTCTTTGAAAGCTACCCTTAGTGTCCAGGAGAGACACAACTGGACCATCGTGGAAACCATGGAGAGATGAGGACGGGCCCAGCAGACACCGTACAGGAAACCTGTTGGGAAAGGCTGGGAGAGAGCTAGCGATGAGACTTGCTTTCTTGTTTCTATGGTTGTGTGGAATGTGTGGTCTCACTGAAATGCCACAGTAATCACCAGGTTGGAGTACAGATTGGGGCCAGGGATGAGGGACTTCAGCCTGGATGAATGGCGGTGAGATAGAAGTATTGGAGCACATGAAGCCAAGGCTTAGGGAAACAGACATGAGAGCTGTTGGTGTGTAGAAGATGAAGCTGGGTTATAGAGGCAGGCCCTTGGTGAGTGTGTGGAGTGAGTGGAGACATGAGGAACTCCACACAAGAAGTTGACGGTGGCACTATTACAATCACCGAGTGTGTGTGTGTGTGTGTGTGTGTGTGTGTGTGTGTGTGTGTGTTTGGAGGGAGGGGCTCCCTTTACCCTTACAGAGAAAAGAATGGGCCAAACAGTCACAAGGGGATGATACATCTCAGAATTCTTGAAGTTGTGAGTTCAAGGCCTGCCTGAGCTATTTAGCAAGACAGGGTGTTACAGAGTGATGGGCTGGAGATGGATCTCTAAGGTAGGGAGAGGACTTGCCTAGCATGCACAAAGCCCTGGGTTCAATCCTTAGCACTGGGTTAAGAATCAGCTGAGGGTGCCCCTGCCTGAGGGTGGATGCCAGATGGGAGAGGATGGGAAGTGAGAAGTCCCTGGTTTGTTTTCTACCCAGAATCTGTGTCAAACTGTAACACAGAAGCAGATACCAACTGAACAATGAGAAAGAGGAAGAAGTGGGGTTTGCCTTCTTTCCTCACGACTGTCCCTGCCTGTTTCTCATTAACCTCCATGCTTAGCAGACAGGAACAGTGGTCAGAAAAATGGAGAGGGCAGAAGGGGAGGGGAGGCAGCTGTACTCCTTCTCTGAGAGACTTTGCTGAGACAACCCCACCTTTTGGTACCTTTTAGCATCTTCACCGCCACCTGAATTGAGACTCCCGTTTTACTAATTCCATAGGCTGTGGCATTCATCACTCGCCCGAAGGCGCCAGACCCCAGGACCTTCCCTGCAAAGATGGAGGAAGCGCATGTTAAAAATTTTGCAAGGGAGAGGAAATGCCAGAGAACCTCTGAACAGTCAATCCTTACCAAACTCTAAATTTTCTCTTGGAAACTCCCACTTGAGGTCATATTCATAGTCCCTGAAGTCAACATAGAAGTACTCGTTATCCAGGGGGCCCGTCACCTGGATCATCTGCAGCTGGCTTTCATATCTAAATTGCTTGAGAGATGAACAAGGAGTCAGCAGCAGTCAGCGGCGCTGCAGAGTCAAGCTAGGGATGAGCCTTCGCCTTCGCCAGCTTTTACCTTTTTGTATTTGTGACAGATCAGCACGGTGAGAATGACAATGAAGGGGAGACAGAGCCCAATGGTTGCATAGAAGGAGATGTTGTCTTGGATGAAAGGGAAGGGGCCTGCAAGAGAAGCAGTCACTAGGCGGTGAGATAAAACTCCCATGTTCAGTACTAAACAGGCAGTTCCTCTAGCTAGAATCTTTCACATTCTGTTCAAGTAACCACCATTTTCAGACCTAATGGGCATTCAGTGTGTTCTGGGTGCCTCACAGAAAGTTGGTTTCTGTTTCTGTAAACAATGAGTTCCCTTTCCAGAAAAATAAAAAATGATTCTGAACCCATTTTTAAAAACTGGACCATGATGTCACGTGAATAATACCCATATAAGCCTTTACAGAGCCCACATCAGATAAAAAGAAGTCTATGTATTTGTTGCCAAGATTTGTCACACATGTGTAGAGAAGTTACACGTATGACTGTTTGCCTGTATATGTGTTTGTGTACCATGTGCATGCCTGGGGCCCTCAGAGGCCAGAAGAGGGTGTTTGATCCCCAGGAGCTGGAGCTACAGATGGTTGTGAGCTGTCATGTGGGTGCTGGGAACTAAACCCAGGTCCTCTGCAAGAGCAGCCAGTGTTCTTAACCACTGAGACATTTCTCCAAAGCCATAGCTTTGGCTTATGTGCTTGCTTTGCTTCAAATTTTTCTAAGACAGGGTCTCACTAGCCCAGGCTGACCTTGAACTTAGGAGCCTCTGGCTTTTTTCCCTGGAATATGAGGTGGGCTGTGCCACTACTCTTTGTTTGAATTAATCCATATTATCTGGTGACCCTAAACTATTTAGTGTAATTTTAGAAAGACTCTAAACACAACTCCAGAATCTAGACTAGCCAGCTAAAAGTAAATAAGGGAATTGACAAAATCGAAAAAGAAGGAAATTCCAGATCACTAAGTCTATTTTGCTACACCTTTGGTAGCTATTCTTCACACCATGAATTTCCAGGACTCCACAGCACTGTGGCTTGTGAGTCATGAAATCTAAGGATAACTGAGTCCTGAAATGTAAATTGGACAGAGTCTGCCTGGGGATTCTTGCCTGACTCAAAAAGTGTCTTATGCTCACTTAGAACGATGCGCTCTCATAAAAATTCCCCAGCAAAGGCCAGCCACAGTGCCCAACTTCAGGTGGGGGAATTTCTGGGGACAGGGTGTGTTTATCACAACAGCAAATGGCTGCACACCTGGAGAGTTTAAAAAGATGGTTTCGCAAGACGTGCCCACAGAATTGTATGCACAGCATTTGACCAGAAACCCTTCCCCGGCCTCACTCATATTTAGAGTACTGCTCGACACCCACTGTCCAAACACTTTTCTGTTAGCCTTTTTATTCCAAACTCCTTCTGGGATTTCCTCAGTGCAGCTGAAAAAAAAATGGTGAAAAGGGATGTTAGATGGGCGGGGTCATGATAGGACAGGAAGTCAGGGTTTCTACAGATGGTTCCCAAAGAACACAAGCTGTGGCTCTAGGGTAAGCATTTTCAATGTTATTCTTAAGCTATATCCATGACAACGGGTGATAGAATCTTATGCCTTGTTCTCACTTTTCTTTTTCCTTTCTTTTTCTTCCTCCTTTCCCTCCCCTCTCTTGCCCTCCCTCCATCCCTCCCTCCTTTATTCCTTTCCTTTCTTTTCTTTCTTTCTTGTTTTTTTGGACTAGGGCCTCACTATGTACCCTATGCTGGCCTTAAACTCTAAGATCCTCCTGCCTCAGCCTCCCGAGTGCTGGGATTACAGGCGTGTGCCACCATGTCCAGTTTGGCTCTTCCATTTCAAGAGACGTCAAGGTTCTCATTACTTGGGAGACTTGTTCGAACACTTCTTCCAGGTCCAAGAGGGTAACGGGTAGCCATCAGAGGAACAGGACGCCTGGCTGGCTGAGGCCTTTGCTAGCACTTGAGGTTTCTCTGCAGAAAGTAGCAAGTAGTAAGCTCATGGAAGACTTTCCAGAATCAGTTCAGAGCTGGCTTCAGCTTAGGCTGCCTCTTAACCCTAGGTGCTGTATGCCCCTGGTACAGCCCCTGATTTAAGATGCCTCAAATGTTTGTTTGGTCCCTTCCTCCTCTGTCACAAAACCTTGACCAGTGGAGGCAACACCTCTCTGTGACTCACTTCCTAGAGGGAGCTGAGGTGTAGAACCTCCATCTACCTGCAGACCGCAACATAACACTTAGCTTTAAAAATATCTTCCAGAGGACCCGGGTTCAAGTCCCAGGATCGACATGGTAGCTCACAACTGCCTATAACTCCAATATCTGACACCCTCATACAGACACACATGCAGGCAAAACACCAGTACACATACAAAATATCTGCAAAAAAAATCTAATGAAATATATTGTCTTTTCTTACTTCTGCATAGACCAAAATGAAAATCATTAAAAGAAATAAATAGCAGTTGACTGTTCAGCCTTTCTTTAGTGTTCCTTTCATAGCACCAAGCCAGTAAAGTCACAGAAAGTTGGAGGTGGAATATTTCTTAGCTCAGAGAACAAATATAGAAAGGGACATATATAATTAAACCCAACACACAAGGAACATGGAGCTTACAAAAGCAGTTTCAGAGGCTGGCAAGATGGCTCAGGAGCTAAGAGCACTGGCTGTGGTTGCAGAGGAACTGGGTTCCCAACACCCACATTGTGGCTCACAACCATCTGTAACTCCAGTTCCAAAGGGGTGGGGTGGCGGTCTGACGCCCTCTTGTGGCCTTTGTGGGTACTGCGTGCACGTGGTGCAGAGACACACAGGCAAAACATTCGTATACGCGCAAATAATCTTTTAAAAAATAGTTTTATAGCATCCCTTCTAAGTCATGCTTGACTCTTCTTGACTAAAAATTAATGGGAGAATAAAGTAGACAAAATGAGATTCAACTTACTTCTTATATTCAGCGTGAACATTTTGGTGAACTGGGCGTCATCGTTTTCTGCATGGAATATGTACTCTCCTGGCTTGTTCTTATGATCGCAAAATTTAGATATGCTGTTTGAGAAAGAATTAAAGGTGAACTTAGCCTGGTGCTTCCAGGAGAGGCTACAGTGAAAAACAGTACATAAAAAGTTATAAAAAAGTACAAATTAGAGCTCAGCGGGTAAGAGCCCTGACTGTTCTTACAGAGGTTCTGAGTTCAATTCCCAGCAACTACATGGTGGTTGACAACCATCTGTAATGGGATCGGATATCCTCCTCTGGTGTGTCTGAAGACAGCTACAGTGTAGTGTATTCACATAAATAAAATAAACAAATCATTTTTTAAAAAGTACAAATCCGTGGGCTTAATTACAACATTTTTCATACATTGTCATTATCTTTGTTCTAATTTTCCCTCCTTCCCTGATGCCTTCTGTCACCATAACAGCTGAGCTAAGTCAACTCGGAAAGAGAACACTCTGATTGGAGCACACAGCTTCAACCCTCAGTTGGTTGCCCCAGCAGGGCCAGAGTGCAAGATGTAGCAGGGAAGCAAAAGACAGCAAGCAGGGCATCCCAGAATCCCCTTCGAGAGCCTGTACCAGTCATCCATCCACTGACTTCCCACAAGGCCTCTCCAGTCAGAGGCTCTATCACTCCTGGATCCACACAGCTGGAACAAGCAGTCCATGAATGAGGGCCCAGCGATTCTCCTCAGCTTCAAAAAGACTGCAGTCCAAGTGGGCTGTAAAACCTCACGAAAGGAGCAATGAAAGCTTTAAATGGAAGGCATTCGGCTGCTGAAGAGAGACAGAGTCGACATAGAAAGTTCTGTGGAAGTCTCAGAGACAGGGCTCGAGCCCCGTTTGCTAGGAGTGCAAAATGGAGAGACGCGAGGAGAAGCAACCAGAATCCTGAAGGAGGGAAGTCACAGGTCATGGAAGAGAAGTTGGGCCTCCTGACTGAAACAGGAGGAGGCACTGGGGCATCTGGGCAAAGAGAGCGAAGAGTTAGAATCGAGTCCGTTGATTAGGACCCTTGAAAATGGCTTAGATTATTCAGAGGTGAAAACTGGACATAGATCTTATGAATGCCTGAAAACAATATCCACAGCATGTGCAACTTTTAGAGTGGCCTGATTGTAGTGGGAGACGTTATTGGCGGGAAGTCTGGAGATGGTGGTGACAGTCTAGGAACCCATGCATTCATTCAACTACCAGTGGAGACCTGACTGTGGCAAGAATCAAGTCTCCAGCAGCAACTCTGAAGAATGAGTGTTTTCGTTATCCTAAACTCACAGCATAATGTTAGAAGCAGACAGGTAAAGACACAGTTATGGGAAGTGGGCGTGGTGGTGTATACCTGTGTCTCAGCGCTCTGGAGGTTGAGGCAGGAAGATCGTAGGTTCGAGGCTGGACTCGGGTACATGGGGAGCTACTGTCTCTAAAGCACATAAAGGAATGGGGAAACAGAGCAGATATGCTAGGGTGTGGGAAGCACTATCACTAGAGAAGTCAAGCTCGAAGGTGAGGTTTCAGAGAATGTTCCTACAGAGGAAGAATGGGAAAGGACACACCTGAGAGGCACTGAGATAAACAAAATTTCAGGTGCTGTGTGCATATGCTAAAAGGCAACCACAGGCTACCAATTGGCCCTGAGACGCACTTGGACAGCTGGAACTTTGAGCCAGGGCTGCCTGGGTACCAGCGTTCTGAGTGCTCTTATCTCTTAGTCGGATGCTCCTGGCCCTCAAATGAGATGGAAGTCACTTTTTCACTCTGCCAAGAAATTTGCAGCAGTTGCTCTGCAGGTGAGGCACATGCTAGAATGCTTGCCTGCCGTGTTCACTGCCCCGAGTTCAATCCCCAGGAACACCCAAAGGAAAATAAGATGCTTTCAGCAATTAAAGGCTGAGAATGTATACATTTTTTCCAGTTCTTACCCCTTTCCTTTCTTCTTCTACAGGGGCTGTGGCTAGGGGAGGAGACAAGGTCTCATTGTAGCCCTGAATGGCCTAGAATTATTTTATTTATTATTATTATTATTTGGGGTTTTTTGAGACAGAGTTTCTCTGTGAAGCTCTGGTGTCCTGGAACTCACTCTGTAAACCAGGCTAGACTTGAACTCATAGATCCACTTGTCTTTGCCCTCCATGTGCTGAGGTTAAAGGCATGTGCCACTATGCCCACTATCTTTTTTTTAAAAGAAAGAGTCTCTGGCATCCCATGCTGCCCTTGAACTTGCTATAAGATGGCTTTGAATGCCTGCTTCTACCTGCTGAGTGCCACCTCATCTAGCTTAATGAAAGCACTGTAAAGCAGGGCTCTGGAAGTAAGGCAAGCAGTGTCCCACCTGAGCCACATCCCTTCTCCCC